GCCGATATACCGAAAAACGGTAATCTTGATCCGCGAACATATGAACGATGGCCGGCGCGCTCTGCTTCTCTTCGTCGGTTGATCTGTTTATCGGTTTATCGGCTCATCGGGTGACTGGCTGGTCTGAAACCGCTGGGGGCAACCCTGAGGAGTCGATCCTTGCGCCGCATATCGGTTTACCGGTTTATCGGTTTATCGGTCTATCGGCGGGTTGTCAGGCCCCCGCCGCGATGACGACGGCGACGGCTCTGGGACGGCTCTCCCTGACCAGCGTGACTTTTGTGATTGGCCCTTGTGCAGACGGAGCCCCGCAGGGGTCCGAACCTCCCACGCCGCATACGATGATCTGCGTGGTAGTGCGGGCCCTGCGAGGGTCTCAGCCGACAGTGGCCGACCACATTGAGGCAGGGCATATCCGAGGTCAGATCTCTTAGGACGTCTAAGGCGAAAGTGGCCTGACCATTCAGCTCAGGGCATCTCAGAAACGAAAGTTATGATGATGTATCATTCGAAAAGTAGCCTGAACCAAACAGCTGTAGGCGTATCGGAGTCAAGTGTTGCGAAGATGTCGCACGCGAATGTGGCTGGACCGCCATGGGGTAGGGCATATCCGAAGTTAGAGCGCGAGGGCGTCTCAAGCAAAAGTGGTCTGAACGCCGCATCTCGCGGCATATCCGGGGCAGACTACTTCAAGGCATGGCACATCCCAGGTCATCACTGCGAGTTCGTGTAGGCGGAAATGGCCAGCACAATTTGGGGCAGGGAGTATCTGAGGTCAGCGTTGCGAGGATGTCTCAAGCGAACATGGCGCGAATATCTGAGCTCAGGGCACCCCAGAACCCACAATTGCGAGGATGCAGCAAGCGAAAGTGGCCTGACCACCATGGGGTTGGGGCAATTCCGCGGTCAGACTTGCGAGGATGTCTGACGCGAAAGTGGCCTGAACATCTCAACCCTGGGCGTCTCGGCAGCCACAATTGCGGGGATGTTACTGGTGAAAGTGGCCAAACCACCAAGGGGCAGGGCACCTCCGAGGTCAGACGTGCGAGGATGTCTTCAGCGAAAGTGGTATGTCCACCTCAGCCGAGGGCGTTTCGGAATCTAGAATTACGAGGATGTCTCTGGCGAGCGCGGGCTGGACTACTATGGGGCATGGCATCTCGGAATCCAGAAGTGTGAGGATGGCTCAGGCGATGATAACCAGATCACGTCGACTCAAAGCATATCGGGTCCCAGAATGCCGAAGATGTTTCAAGCTGAGTGCGCTGGAATTGCGAAGATGTCCATGGCGAGACTATTTAGATAATCGCATACGTCGCGAGGCGCTGGAACCCAGACTTCCGAGGATGTCTCACGCGAAACGGGCCTCCTGCTCCACCTCCTCCTCCTCCTCCTCCTCCTCCTCCTCCTCCTCCTCCTCCTCCTCCTCCTCCTCCTCCTCCTCCTCCCCCTCCTCTTCTCATCTGCCCGCCGAGTCGGGCCGAGCCGCCGACGAGGACGAGGACGAGGACGAGGACGAGGGCGAGGACGAGGGCGAGGACGACGAAGACGGCGACGACGACGACGGCGACGACGACGACGGCGACGGCGTCAGGCCTCGTATCTCGAAATGTCAGCTGTCGCCGTCGCCGTGAGTGTCGCCAGCGCCGGTAATGTGGCGATGATGATGACGATGACGGCGGCGGCGATAATGGTGTGCATGATGATGACGAGGGAGATGGCGATGATGATGGTGATGGTGATGATGAAGATGACGATGATGATGATGATGATGATGATGACGATGGCTTCTCTCCTAGAACGGCGATGATCCGGAGCAGGCACTTGTACTCCCGCTCCTTCTGTGGGCAAGAGTACCGCTCTACAAAGACAGCCCAACTCACGCTTGGCGCCAGCTGCCTGCTGCTATCGATTTGTACCGCCACCGTACCCCGAGGCACGAGGTCGAATGTTCCCAGGTACCCATGTAGTCGCCAGTCTTCACGATCAAGGATTCCCGAAGGGCCCAGATCCCACATTCTCGAATATCCCAAGCAAGTCTCTCATACGTGGGCCCAAATGTGGGAACCGAATTGACATTGGGAACTCTCGGCCGCTCCTCTTGCTTGTCTTCCTCCTGCCCTCCTCCTCCTCGTCAGCATCATTCTCATCATCATTTTCGTGATCATCGTCATCCGCAGCAGCACCAGTATCATCATCAGAATCCGCATGCTCGTTGTAGCTTTACAAACACCCATAGTAGCAGGAAGTGGTAGCAATAGTTGTGGTAGTGATATCAACAACAGCAGCGCCGTAGTCGTCGCAGTAGTAGTAGTAGTAGTAGTAGTAGTAGTAGTAGTAGTAGTAGTAGTAGTAGTAGTAGTAGTAGTAGTAGTAGTAGTAGTAGTAGTAGTAGTAGTAGTAGTAGTAGTACTAGTAGTAGTAGTAGTAGTAGTAGTAGTAGTAGTAGCAGTAGTAGTAGTAGTAGTAGTAGTAGTAGTAGTCGTAGTAGTAGTAGTAGTAGTAGTAGTAGTCGTAGTAGTAGTAGTAGTACTAGTAGCAACAGCAGTAGTAGAAGCAGTAGAAGTAGGATCAGTAGTAGTCTTTATATCTGTGCTCGTACGAATAACATTAGCAGACACAATAATAACACATGCGCATCGCAACGGTAGCCACAGTAATCTTTGCTGGTGCCGTAGCAGTAGTTTTAGCAATTGGACTATTAATCATAGCAATCGCCGCAACGATCATTTCAAACATGCGCACAGCTGCGATAGTCTCAGTGTCAAGTGTTTTTGAAATAGTGATCGCAATAGTAGTTGTAGATGCATTGGTACCAGTAGCACGAGTGGTAACGATATTAATCCATGGGAATGAGACGTAGCACCAACAGCAGTAATTGTGGATGTGGTAATAATGATAGTAGCAAATGTTGTTGTATCAGCACCCGTAAGAACAGCAGCAACGATAGTAACACATGGGAATCATATGAATAGAAGTTTAATTCATTGTACTTGTAGTAGCACCGGTGACAACAGCGGAAACGGCAGTGACACATAGGAGTAGTAGAAGTAGGTGTTATGGTTGCGGATGTTCTTCGCGCCCTCGCGAGGCCATCGAGCCAGGTCGCGCCTCCCCGAGCAGGCGGCCACAGGAGCCTGCGACCTCTCTCCCCCGGGCGCCATAAGAACGCTCCCGGGACTGCCCGGCAGCGTGCGGGTCGCCCGCTGGAGCTGCGCCCGACGGACCCCTCCCGCCCTCCCTGCCTCCCTGCCTGAGGAACATCCTGGAGGCCTCGCGCGGCAACTTGAGACCAGATGTACATCGGATCCACGTCGGACGGGCTCACGTTGGACAACGTCGGAATCACGTCGGACTGACGCCGATGCATCGCCTCGCGTATTACGCGCCGCTCGAGGCCTCCAGGATTTTCCTCATGACCTCCTCACCTCCTGGAAAATGGGTTGGACGCAGGAGGACAGACCTATCTGCGAAACTGCGCCGAACTGAACGCAAGTCTTGCCGACCGCCCTCGCCCCAAAGTTCGATGGTCAGTTGCGCGCGCGGCGCCGACGGCAGACGCCGACGCAACATTTTGGGGGTCTGGGGCTGCCGACGCGGCGCGGGAAAAGCTTGCGTGTAGCTGCACGGAGAGATGTACAGTCGGGGCGTTGACCTAAGGAACCCTAAATAAGGCACGAGGCCCCTTTTCTCCACAAGTTAAGCTTCGATTCCCCATCGAAAACACGAGGAAAACCTGGGGCAAGCTGTGAAACACTTGAGGAACGCGGAGCCCCTCCCCAACGAAAAGGGTTCCTTCTTCAGGGCCCCGACTGCATGCGTCCTCCTTGGAGACGCCCGTCCGACCCGAACATATAGATATGGCACAACCATCGTGTAGCAGGTCGTTTCCCGAGCGGCGTGGCGTGGCCAGACAGCGCCCGCCACCGAGCCAGTACTGTGAGATGTTGCTCGGCGCGGGCATCGCCCCCGAGGAAGCGGCGAAAACATAGTATTGGTGTTTGGTCGGGCATGTTCGCCTACAGGCGGATTTTGGAAGAGGCATCGTGAAAAACAAATATCCACAATAGTGGAAAACAAAATGAAATATCAAAATGCATAGTCTCCTGGAAGCCAAACAAATATCCCAAATAGTGAAAAACGTCAGAAGGTCGTCCCCCTCATATGTTTCACTGTGTTTGAATATTCCTCCTGTGGAGGGACGTGCCCGACTTTGTATTAGTGTGTCGGGGTGACGCCGGATGGGTGGTCTGCCTCGCCGCGCCGCAGCCAGTACTGCCGCCAACCCCACTTCCCTCCGTCCCTCTTCCTCTTCCCCCGATCGCTCTCTTTGCGAGCTGGGGGTTCCCCAAGCAAAGGGTGTCTCCCAGTAACACTTCCTTGGTCTTTCCTGCTCCACCGAGGAACTCTCAATGGCGGCCCGCTCGCAGACCTGAAAGAAAGGTCAGTGGTCAGCGGTCCCTTCGATTGCGCTGGCCTGCACCCCTGCTGCGGCCGATCCCTGCTCCCCTCACCCATCTTTTCCTTCGAGGTGGGGAAATCTGCACCTGGCCATCGCTCGGACGTCCATTCCCTGTGCTTTTTTCGGTTTCGTGCGCGGCTTTTTCGCCAAATGATCAAGGATGCTCCTCGATGGCTCTCGCCGAGAAAAAAATGCACACGTCCGAGCGATGCCAGGGCACAGGCATATGACCTTTCGGAGACCCGCGTGGATCTCTTGGATGACGGCGCTGGGTCCCCGCGGCAACGTTGTCCACGCCGCCCCCGGCGCGGCCCGCGCACCAGGGAGAGGGGTCCAGCGCCGACCCAAGACACCCGCGCCGACGTCCACTCGCCATCGCTCGGACGTCCATTTCCCGTGTGTTTTTTCGGTTTCGTGCGTGTGTTTTTTTGCTCGATGGTCCAGGATCGTCCTCAATGGTTCTCGCCGAGAAAAAATGCACACGTCCGAGCGATGCCAGGTCCACAGATGCATGAGTGTGCCGATGCTTCTTCGCTGCATCCTGGCCACTGATGATCGCGTGCGAGCACTTGAACGCGCACTTCTGCGTGTCCCTGTGCAGCTTCTGCAGCAGGGCCCCGCCGCTGCCGAAGGCGAGGTTGTCCGCGGCCCAGCCGTGGTCCGCCATGGCCTGCGCGGCCGTCCCATGGACGACGCCAGCCATCGATTTGCCATCGGGTTTGACGGGAGGGGGGATAGTTGAGGGGGGTACCAAATCAGCTTGCGGAACTGATCTTCCCCCCCGACTCCCAGCGCCGGCGACGGCAATGCACAGTAGGAGCTCGACCACAAGGAACCTTCCACAAGAAACCCAACCCTGGAACCCCAGGACGTCCAGCGATTTTTGGTGTGGGCACGTCACGCTTTCCGTAGCCAAGCCATCGAAACCCAAGAAGCCCAGGGCATCCCGGTTTCTGGGAGAGCGACCGGCAGCGGCGACCGACCCCCGACCCGATGCCAGGGGCGCGCACGGGGAAGCGGCGCGAGGGGGGCGGCCCTTTCGAGCAGGCGAGGAGCTTCTAGAAGGCGGGGAGCTCCTTCCGCGGGCCCGGAGGCCAGGCCGGGGAGGGGCCTCCTGAGAAGCTGCCTCCTGAGAAGCCCTCCGCCTTCTCCCCTCGCGCCCCACTCCCCCGAGCGCGCCGCCACATGTACCGGACGAGTTCGATGCACGCAGGCGCGGCAGCGTGCATCGGGCTGGCCTGGCACACCCGCTGGCGCCGTCTGGTCGTCGACTAGGGGGGGCCGGGTAGCAGCAGTAGGACGAGTGTACGGTGTCATGCTGCGGTGGGCTCGGGATGCGCGCCAGGAGTTCCAAGGAGTGTCTGGCGGCTCTCGTTGCTGGAGCCCGTGCGGAGCAGCAGGAGCCCCTGGAAATATCCAGGAGATCCTTGACGTATCAGAACGCACCACTGTAGTACAGAACTGTGGCTGCCTCCTTCTCCGACAGCGCCAGGGGCGCCGCCAAGGGGGGGCCCAACGCAGATCCAAGCGATCCGCGCGGACCGTCGAAAGTTTGTGCTTGTGCCGCTTTGCCGTCGTGACCACGGTGACAGAGGGCAAGGGCGACTCCCAGGCCTGGTGGGGGAGGGGCGGCGGCGGCGGCGGCGGCGGCGGAGGAGGAGGACGAGGAGGAGGAGGAGGAGGCCCAGGCCACGTCGCGGGCAGCGCGATCTGTCTTCATGCCCCTGTCGGGACGGCCCAAACGCACGTCCAGGACAACGTGCACCCAGCGGGGTGTCGCAGCGGCCACGCTTCCAGCCATGGTGGGCGCCAGCGCGCAGCCGCTGGGCGTCCCGAGGTGGGCCCCTAAGCACCCTCTCCATGGGTACGTCTGTTCTGGGTTACACTTGCCCTCCCCTGACTCCCTCCTTTCCCCCCCCAGGGGAGGGGCGAGGAGGCTGCCGACAACGACGACGAGGTCGACGACGACGACGACGGCGACGACAACGACGAAGACCATGGCGACGACGACGACGACGACGAGGATGAAAACGACGACGACGACCACGACGACGACGACGACGACGACGACGATCACCACGACCACCACGACCACGACCACGACAACGACGACGATGATACTGATGACGACTACGACGACCACGACGAAGACGATGACGCCCGCGACGACGACGACGACGAGAAGCACGACCACGACCACGACAACGACCACGATGACGACGAGGACGCTGACGAGAACGACGCCGACGACGACAACGACGACGACGACGACGACGGCAACGACGACGACGACCGCGACAGCAACAACGACGAAGACGACGGCGACTACAACGACGACGAAGACGACAACCGCGACGGCGACGACGACGACGACGACAAAGACGACGACGACGACGAGGACGTGAACGACGGCGACGACCACGACCACGACCAGGACGACGACGACGACCACGACTACGACGACCACGAACCACGACAAGCACGACGACGACGCCGACCACGACAACGACCACGACGACCACGACCACGACGAGGACGACGACGACGACCACGACGACAACCGCGACGGCGACCGCGACGAGGACGAAGACGACGACGACGAGGACGACGGCGAAGACCACGACGACGACGACAACGACACCGACGACGACGACGACCAGAACGACGACGACCACGACGACCACGACTACGACGACGACTACGACGACGACGACGAGAACGAGGACGAGGACGACGACGACGACGAAGACAAGGACAACGACGACGACAACGACCGCGACCACGACCACGACGAACACGACGAGCCTGGCGGTGACCAGGGGCCGCTTCTGTCCCGCCCTCGGCGACGTACCCCCCGTAAGGTGCCGCATCGGCCACGGTTCCAGCCACGGTGGGCACCAGCACGCAGCCGTTGGGCGTCCCAAGGTGGGCGCCGAGGCACCATCTTCAGGGTACGTCTGTTCTGGGGTACGTTTGGCTTCCCCTGACTCCCTCACTTCCCCTCCTAGGGGAGGGGCGAAGAGGCTGCCGACAAGGACGACGGACGAGGAAAGAGGACGACGACGACGACGACGACGAGAACGAGGACGAGGACGACGACGACGACGACCACGACGACGACGACGACGACGACAACGACGACGGCGACGACGACGACCACCACCACGGCGACGATACTGATGACAACGACGACGACCACGACCAAGACCACGACCACGACGACGAGGACCACGAGGACGACGAGGACGGGGACGGCGGCGACGACGACGACGAACACGACGACGGCAGTGGCAGCGGCGGCGGCGCAGCGGCGGCGATGGCGGCGATGCCGACGGCGATGCCGACGGCGATGCCGACGGCGACGGCGGGACGGCGACGGCGGCGGCGACGGCGGGACGGCGACGGCTCGGGGGCCGGGACAGAAGCCGAGCCGTGACGTGAGCCTGCCTCGCGCAGCGGGGAAGGAGCGAGCGAGGGCCGCGGGCCCTCCGGGGGGGGGGCGGCAGGTTACCAGCCTCGAACGTATCCCTATCCCTAAGATTGACACGCCAAAACGCGACGACAATCTTAGGGATTCGCCCTCAAAAAATGAGGGGATCCCTAAGATTGACTTCGTGATGAGGAGATGCCCAGCATAGGGATAGGGATAGGGATATGTTCCTAGCTGGTAAGCAGGGGACGCGCAAGGACACGCCAGTACTGTATGTCCTCGTTGGAGGCGCGCGTCCGACAGGAACAGATAGTATGCCCATGTTGGATACCTAAACTGTAGTAATCCCACCCAGTAGGCCCATATTAGGTAAGCCCACAGAGCATCATGTAGTCCCATACGATAGACCCATAGAGCAGGCCCATACTCTATTCAGAACATGTAGTAGACCCATACTGTGTCGGCGGTGGACATTGGGGCGACGCCGGTGGCAAGCTATCCGCCGCGGCCTGCAGGATCATCTCCAGCGACTTGATGTCCACTCCGTCTCCTCGGGCGGGTGGTAGTGCTAGGTGACCGAGATGGGCTTGGAAGAAGAAGAGGTCCCTAAAGGGGCCCTTTTCTTCACCTCCCATTTGGGCCACCACCCATGATCACCCGCCCTAGTTCCCTGGATCACGCGGACGCAGTCCGGCAGCAGCCTGGGGCGGGTGGCGGTCTTAGCGGAGCGGTCGGGCTTCCTCATCCTTCTGACCATCCTCCTCCTCCTCCTCCTCCTCCTCCTCCTCCTCGCTGTTTGCCCTCCCGGCCCTCCCCGTCTTCACGTGCTCCGCGTCTTCCTCTTCACACCCCCATCCCTGGTCCTCTTTCCTCCTCCTCCCCCTCGTTCCTCACCCTCCTCAACCGGCATGAGCTGGTTTCGCCGGGGCTGGTTTCGCCAGCGCTGGTTTCGCCCCGCCAGTCTCGCCTGCAGCTGATTTCGCCTCGCTGGTTTCGCCCCGCTGGTTTTGCCGGCGGCTGGCTTCGCTGGCGCTGGTTTCGCCGTCGCTGGTTTTGCCGACGCCGTCGTCGCCGTCGGCGTCGCCGCCGTCGTCGTCGTCGTCGGGCGTCGGGCGTCGTCGTCGTCGTCGTCGTCGTCGGTCGCTGTCGTCTGTCCCCGCTGCCGCCCTCGTCTCCGTGGTCGTCGTTGCCGTCAGCCAGGGCGTCCTCCGTGGCTCCTTCTGTGCACAGGCGCCGCTGGCTTCCCCGCAGCGGGCGGCGCCTGGGCGGCGCTCGAAGCCCAGGTGGGGCGCCCGGCGGTCCGCGGGAGCAGCGCGGGACACAGAGCGGGTGACGCCGGCGCCGCGGCCGGGCACTACCACGCGCCCGGCGCCCAGCGCGAATCCGGGCGGGGGACCTCGCCGTCGCTCGGACGTCCATTTCCCGTACATTTTTCGGTGTCGTGCGTGTTTTTTTTGCTCGATGGTCGAGGGTGGTCCTCGATGGTTCTCGCCGAGAAAAAAATGCACACGTCCAAGCGATGCCAGGGGACGGCTCCCCGAAGCGGCCTCACTCGTGCTTGCACACGGCGGCCACGCACCGCAGCAGCGCGGTCGCAGCCCCCGGCACCAGCAGGTTCACCAGGCACTATGACGGGCGGGTCGGGCGGCCAGACCCTAGCAGGCGGGTCGGGTCGGGTCGGGCGGGCGGAGCCTAACGGGCGGGCCGAGTCGGGTCGGGTCGGGCGGACCCCCACGGGTGGGTCGGGTCGGGCGGGCGGGACATTCAAATGTGGGGCACTCTCGACCGAGCACGCGCGAACCACGACGGGCGGGTCGGGTCAGGCGGGGGGACCCTAGCGGACGGGTCGGGTCGGGTCGGGTCGGGCGGGCGGGTCGGGTCGAGCGGGCGAGACATTGAAGTGTGGGGCAGGCACGCTCGACCGAGCACGCGCGAACCCTCACGGGTGGGTCGGGTCGGGCGGGCGAGACATTGAAGTGTAGGGCATGCACGCTCGACCGAGCACGCGCGAACCCTACCGGCGGATCGGGTCGGGCGGGCGGACACAACAAACGGGCGGAAAGCGTCGGGTCGGGCGGACCCTAACGGATTGGTCGGGTCGAGCGGGCGGGACATTAAAGTGTGGGGCGCGCTCGACCGAGCAATCGCGAACCCTAACGGGCGGGCCAGGTCGGGCGGGCGGACCCTATAGCAAGCGAGCCTGGTCGGGTCGGGCGGGCGACCCTAACGGGCGGGTCAGGTCGGGCGGGCGGGACATTGAAGTGTGGAGCACGCTCGACCGAGCACGCGCAGCGGACCCTAGCAGGCGGATCGGGTCCGGCGGGCGAGACATTGAAGTGGGTCATGCACGCTCGACCGAACACGCGCGAACCCTAACGGGCGGGTCGGGTCGGGCGGGTGGACCCTACCGGGCGGGTCGGATTGGGCAGTTTCGCCGAAAGCCGCTGGTTTCGCCAACGGCAGCTGGTTTCACCGACGGAAGCTGGTTTCGCCCAGCGGCGAAACCAGCCGGGCAAAACCAGCCGGGCGAAACCAGCCGTCGGCGAAACCAGCGGTCGCCCCTCACCCTTCCTCATTTTCCTCCTCCTCCTCCTCCTCCTCCGCCTCCACCTTGTCCTCCCCACCCTTCCTCCACCTCCTCCCCCTCCCTCTAGCCCACTGCCGACGCGAGGAACTTCTCTATGCACTATCCTGGGGCCCCAGATGTCCCTGGCCAAGCACGGTAGTCTGATTTGTTATATATACATACATACATATGTGTATATATATATATATATATATATATATATATATATATATATATATGTGTATGCACGTGTGACTGCACGTATGTATGCATGGATATATATATATATACACACGGGGATATATGAACATGTGAGTACACTTGCATAGACACATGTGTACACCTGTATGTAGATACACAACTATCGATACATAACAACCGGTGTGATTACATGTACACATTAGTACAAATGCATATACATACATATATATATACACATATATATATATATATATATGAACAGCCCCCCCCCAGCACCCACTGATAGTGTTAATTTCTTGACAGTGGAGTTCTCTCCGTTACCAATCCCTTCGTCCCCTCACGTCCTCCTCCTCCACTTCCTCCTTCTCCTCCTTCTCCTCCTCCTCTTTTCGACGAAGCAGACGGGCAAAGAGTCTGCTGATCGATTGAGAGGACAAGAGAGAAGGACAGAGCGAGAGAGGACAAACAAAGCAAGAGGACAAAAAGAAAGAGGACACAAAAACAGAGGGAAAGGCAGAGCGAGAGAGGGCAACACAAGAGGAAAAGGTACATAATGAGACTCGAGGGCGCAGCGATCCCCGTGAAATCGCACGGTGTGCGATGTATGTAGGGGGGCGCCAAACGCTGTGATGCCTTTGGAGTGATGTCCGGCATGGGAATCCCAGAAGCACTCCTGATTTTCATGATTTCACATCCTCTGGCGAAGATCCACGCTGCAGCCCTCCCGAGTACTGAACCTCAGAAACCCTACACGGCAAACACGAGCTCACACGGCTTCTGGGATTCGGATGCCTGAAACCCAAACAATTGAAGTGGAACGCACAAGATTTGGCGTCCCTTTTACTCCGCACACCTGGCAACATCACTGGGATCGCTGCTCTAGCCTCTCTCTCCCTCTCTCTCTCTCTCTCTCTCGGGCTCTCACTCTCTCCCTCTACCTCTCTTTCGTTCGTCCTCCACCTCTCTCTCTCTCGAGCCACCCCTCTGCTAGTGAAGCAGGAGAGGCCGAGAGGCACACAGAGAGACAGCGAGAGAACACAAATAAAAACAAGAGAGAGAGAGAGAGAAAAAAAAAAAAAACGAGAGAGAGAGAGAGGGAGAGCGAGAGTGCGCGAGAGACAGAAAGAATCGAGAGAGACTCGAGGGAGCAAGCGATCCCTGCGAAGTCAAAAACAGACAGGGGATTGGGGAGCCCCCTCTCGGGGTCGAGGGCGCGCGCGCGCGCGAGACCTCCACACTGAGTCTGCGCGTGCGTCGTTGACTGCTCTGCGTGCTCCGTGGTGCTCCTCTCTCTCCTCCTCCTCCTCCTCCTCCTCCTCCTCCTCCTCCTCCTCCTCCTCGTCCTCGTCCTCCTCTCCTCCTCCTCCTCCTCCTCCTCCTCGTCCTCCTCCTCTCTCCTCCTCCTCCTCCTCCTCCTCCGCCTCCGCCTCCTCCTCCCTCCTCCTCCTCCTCCTCCTCCTCCGTCTCTTCTCTTCTTCCTCCTCCTCCTCCTCCTCCTCCTCCTCCTCCTCCTCCTCCTCCTCGTCCTCGTCCTCCTCCTCCTCCTCCTCCTCCTCGTCCTCGTCCTCGTCCTCCTCCTGCTCCCCCCCCCAACTGCACATTTCGAAGACAGGCTCTGAGTATCGTCAACGTTCAGGCCAACTCGAGCAGGCAAGACTGGTGGATGCACCCTGGAGGTAGAGGTGTTACTGCTGCTCGGCGTCGCCTTTTTTAGAGGGAGGTCTGTGGAGGAGAAGGGCATCTGGAGACCGAGGAGCGGGGAGGAGATGTCTGGCAAAGCCGCGCGTGCTTGCGGGTACCTCGGGCCGCTTCTTCAGGCCGACGGCAGCCTGGTTTCTGAAACCCCACGGCGTGTACAGAAAGCTCGGCAGGGGCGCCAGCTGTTGCAGGGATGCTGGCAGCATTGCTCCAACAAGCGTTGGAAAGGTATTCGTGTCTCGTTCGGTGGTGGAGGGAGCGCTGATGTCTGGCTTGGCTGCTTGCGTTTTGCGTAGCGAGGGTGGGTATAAGCTGGACAGCGCGCAGGCCGCCATGTCACGCAGACTGTTGAGGGGGCGGGCTAGCGGTAAAAAGCAGGAGGAGGAGGAGGTCCAGTACTGCGCCATGACTAATAAGACGGTCCTCTCTCAGTTGAGGTTCGTTCCTGTTTCGCTTGCGTTCCGAGTGCAGAGACTGAAATGGATGCAAGAAATAGTGAGACGGCCTCTCCGTAACTTGCAAATTATCGGGGCGGTGTTTGGAGAGAGTTACTGGGAGGACACGGAGTTCAGGAGCTTGGATGGGGAAGGGTATCGTGTGGGGCCTGTTCGGGCCTGGCAGGAGCAGTTTCAAGCCGATATTGCTGATCTGTTTCGTGCTGGCGAGTGCCTACAGCACGTTGAGCACGTACGTGCGCGACCTGTTGCGATGTTTTGCGACGAAGACGTGCGTCATGATTTCTTCTCCACTGATCCTCGTGCTCTCGCCAATGAATACCTTGGTCAACAGATACCTCCCTCCGTGTCCCTGGGTGCCTCTCCTCCCTCTCCTCCCCCGCCTCCTTCGCCCCCTCCTGCCCCTGGCTTCGTCTGTGGTCTCAGTCTGGGGGGGGAAGGTATCTGTAGTGCTGCATACCCCACTAGGCGGCGACTCCCTTTTGCATCAAGTCAATTCTCAGCTTCCCAACATGGCTTCAGAGATCTTGCTCGTGTGGTTACTGTGCCTAACGCGTGTATGCTGTGTGGGAACATGTATGCTACAAAACGAATCGTTAGCGAGCATGTCATGCGGAGTCTGGTTAATAAGACATGCCCGAGGTCCCGAAGTTCTGCTACGGTATTCGATCACGTTGTTCCTCTCCCCTACAAGTGTAAAATGTGCAGGGTGTCTGTCTGTAGCTATTCGGAGGCTCAGTGGCATCTGCGTGAACACGCACCTTTAGAAAAACAGATTCTAGAACTCTAAGCATGTCCCAGCCACAGTGGTCTTCAGTCTTCGGCCAGGTGGGTGCGAAGTCTTCTGCCGCTGCTGCTGACCCAGGTGTTCAGGCTCGCAAGCGCATTGCAGTTGAAGATGGCAGTACGGAGAAGAAAGCAGATCTCGCCCTCAAGCTAGGTGTCATCAGCTCCCAGGCGGCGTGCACTACGCAGTTCACGATCAAGGTTGCCGATCCCATCCACCAAGCCATGAAGTCAGCATTCGAGACTGAGTACATCCCCCGTGCGAGAGGGCCAGAAGGGACACGGCCTGGGCGCGCCCAAACAGCTTCATGCTCACCGGAGTTGTAGTCACGGTGATGCAGCGCGCGTCGCCGGATCAGCAGGCAGTGCTTCGCAAGGTTCTCGATAACTGTGCTGCAGGCAGTCAGCAGCTCCAGCTCTTGATATCAGGCTTTTTCGCACGGAAGAAATGTTCGATTCGAAAGTGCGCAGGCGCATGGTTGCCATCACCGATCCTGTGCTGGGGGCCACGGCTGTCCAGATTTGAATCTCTTCGAAAGAAGTCTTCTTTCGAAGAGATTAAAATGGCCTCTTCAAGAGGCCACTGTATTCACTGGCCTCTCGAAGAGGCCACTGTCTTCACAGTGGCCTCTTCTTTCGACAGTGGCCTCTTCAAGGATGTTATAATCTCTTCGAGTGAAGAGGCCACGGTCTTCACTGGCTCGCGGCCTGCGGGCGACCTTGAGCTCGAGGGGCAAGGGATGGCTGCTCCCCGAGTGCGCAGCAGCCTCCCGAGTTCGGCCGTGCGCCGACGCCTGCCGACGGGCGCCGTCGCTGGCGCCCTCTCCAGTTGTGGAGTGCCGAGAGTTTGATGTGAGGGGGGCTCCCCACACTCCTCCCAGGTCCATCCAACCCTTGGACTCAGAGGAGCGATGCCGATACCCCTCCCCCCTCTCCTCCTCCACCTCCACCTCCTCCTCCACCTCCTCCTCCTCCTCCTCCTCCTCCTCCTCCTCCTCCTCCTCCTCTCCTCATTCATCCTTTTACCCCCCCCCCGAAACAAAAAAAAACTCGGCTGATCACCCCCCGTTTTTTGGGGGGGAGGGCGCTTTGAATGCTCTGCGTGCTCTGTGGCGTCGCCTCCTCGTCCTCCTCCTGCTTCCCTCCCTCCCCCTCTCCTCCTCTGCCTCCGCCTCCGCCTCCTTCTCCTTCTCCTCCTCTTCCTCTCCTCATTCCCCCCAGAAGAAGAAACCAAAAAAGGAGATAACCACTACGAAAAGGACAAACCATAAAAAACACTCCAACTTTCAGGGCGAAGGAGCGTCCCAGCCTTAACAAAAATCCGATGGGCACGGCGAAGGGCTCCACGATCCCCCGGCCTCGCGAAATCACATGGTTTGCAAAGTAGGGGGGGCCAGACCCTGTGATTTCAATGGGGTGTTTAGGATTTGTTGGTAGGAGTCCCAGAAACCATCTGACTTCAGTTAGTTTGGATGTGTGGGACCTCTGCGAGTCAGAGCTGTGGCGGGCTGCAGCGTAGATGTTCGTCGGAGGATGAAAATACGGAAACTTCAAAGACATGGCATGGTTTATGGGATCCGCAGACTCGAAAGTACGACAACCCAAATGGCATCACAAGGTTTGGCACACCGTGGCATCGCAAACCTTGCAATTTCAGAGGGGCAGCTGCTCCCACCGGAAGAGAAGGAGGAGGAGGAGGAGGAGGAAAAGAAGGAGGAGGTGGTGGTGGTGGAGGAGGGTATCCGCTTCCTCTTCCGATGAGGCAGAGAGTCAGAGAGGCAGAGGGAGAGAGAGACAGAGACAATCAAAAGACTCGAGTGAGCAGCGACCCGTGTGAAATCACGCGGTTTGCGAGGTAGGAGGGCACCACATCCTGAGTCGTCGCTGGGATGTTAGGGATTTCTGGTATGAGAACCCCCGCAGCCCTGTGATGTCGCTGGGATGCGTGGGGCTGCTGGGGGTCCGAGCCCTGGAGGGCTGCAGCGTGGATCTTCGTCGGAGGATGCAGAAACCCACAAGCCAAAGCAGAGCACACAATTAGATCACAAGGCCCCTGGGATTACAAGACCAGGGATCCAAAGAGTCCGAATGAAATGAGAGGCTGGCGACCCCTTATACTTCGCAAACCGTGCGAGTTCAAAGGGATCGCTGCTCCCTCTAGTCTCTCGCTCCCTCTCTCTCTGCCCCCCTCTGTCCCTACGCCCAGTCGGAAAAAGAAAGAGAAGGAGGAGAGGGAGGAGGAGGAGGACGAGGAGGAGGATGAGGAGAAGGAGGAGGAGAGGGAGAGGGAGGAGGAGGAGGAGGAAGGAAGGAAGGAAGGAAGGAAGGAAGGAAGGAAGGAAGGAAGGAAGGAAGGAAGGAAGGAAGAGGAGGAGGAGGAGGAGGAGGAGGAGGAGACACGCACAACGAATGGAGGAGGGGGAAGAGCAGCAGCAGGAGCAGGAGGGCCCGCAGTAGCAGGCAGAGGAGGAAGAGAAGTAACAGGCTGCGGAGGATCAGACGGAGGAGGGCGCAGAACAGAAGGAATCGGAGGAAGATGAGGAGACGAAAATGAACGGAGAGGGAGAGGAGAGGCGAACACTGGTAACATAAAAGGAAACGATCAATGGCTTTTGGGGGACTGAGGGGGGGCATGCACACATATATATATATATATATATATATATATATATATATATATATGTATATACATACATACATACAAACATACATACATACAAACATACATACATACATACGTACGTACGTACGTACGTACATATATACATACATACATACATACATACATACATACATACATACATACACACACGTATCTATACACAGATATAAATATATCATGTGTGCTCGGACCTCCTCCCAGCGACCCCCTCCCGGGGCTATCCGGAGCCATCTTGGGGCCGTCTGGGGCCGTCTTGGGCACTCCTGGGAAGCTCCGAACTCAGGCTCCCCGGACGCACCCGCAGATGTGTCAGGTCAGATTTCTTTGTATATAGGTACTCATTGTATTACTACAACTACACAAACATACACATATATACACATGCATATACATATCTATATATATACATATATACACATATACGCACACATGTATATGTACGCTGTATACATACATATATATATATATATATATATAGATATATGTATGCAGATCCTCCTCATTCCCCTCCCAACAGGAGCCTGTGGCCGGTGTCCGTTTTCGTGGAGCCGAATCTGGCCTCCAGCTTCTCCAGAACCTGCAGCACGGTGCCAGGCAGCTCCCCGCTGTCGGGGCGGACCACGAGGGTTCCTCCCAGGAGGTGCTCGCAGGGAGAGGGGCTCCTCCTCCTCATCCCCCTCCTCCTCCTCCTCCTGCTCCTCCTCTTCCTCTTCTTCGTCTTCTTGTATGTCGTAGTATCTGGGATGCCTCTTATTTTCAGTATGCGCATTCATATCATTCGTATGCGTGTTCTTATTATTATTAGTAATATTAAGACTCGCATTCGTCTGGTTATTATTTGCATTGTTCCTCTCATGATTCGAATACGCTTACTGATAGTATTACTATTCTCCTGATGCTCACTATTTAGTAGTATTATTACAAAATATTCGCATTAGTACTATTACTATGGTTCGAAATATTATTATTAGCATTATTATTATTATTCCTCCTCCTCCTCCTCCTCCTCCTCCTCCTCTTCCTCCTCCTTTCGAGATGCCCAGATATGGTTCCTACGACTGTAGCGTTCTTTCCTCCTCCTCCTCCTCCTCCTCCTCCTCCTCCTCCTCCTCCTCCTCTTCCTTGCGAGTTGCCCAGACCTGGGTCCTACGACTGTGGCGTTCTATCCTCCTCCTCCTCCTCCTCCTCCACTCCTCCTCCTCCTCCTCCTCCTCCTCCTCCTCTTCCTCCTCCTCCTCCTCCTCCTCCTCCTTCCCCTCCCCCTCCTCCTCCTCCTCCTCCTCCCCCTCTCCGCCTCCTCTCCCCCCTCCCCCTCCCCCTCCCCCCTCCTCCTCCCTCCTCCACCTCCCTCCTCCCCCTCCTCCCCCTCCTCCCCCTCCTCCCCCTCCTCCCCTCCTCCTCCTCCTCCTCCTCCTCCTCCTCCTCCTCTGCCCCAACGGTGGGGCCTTCTCCTCCTCATCCGCCCCTGCCTCATGATCCTCCCGCCCCCTGCCTTCTCCTGCCCTGCCGACGGCGGCGGGGCGGCTCCAGGGGCCCAAGGGAGGGGGGGGGGAGCGGAAGGCGAAGACAGTGCTGTGGAAGGGGCACGATCGGAGGAGGAGCAGGAGCAGGAGCAGGAGGAGGAGCAGGAGGAGGAGGAGGAGGAGGGAGGAGAGGAGGAAGGGAGAAGGAGGAGGAGGAGGAGGAGCAGCAGGAGCAGGAGGAGGAGAAGGAGGAGGAGGAGAAGAAGAAAGGGGGGAGGAAGGAGGAAGGATGAAGAGGGTGGGCGAGGGAGAAGGAGCAGGCTGACGGCGACGAGGAAGACGACGGCGAGGAGGACGAGGAGGAAGGAAGGCCAGGAGCAGGAGGAGAAGGCGCGGCGAGGGTGCCCATCGGAACGACCGAGCGCGTTCCAAGCCGATATATATATATATATATATATATATATATATATATATATATATACAAGACTGCATTGGCGCTTCGCGCCATGCACCTTGGTCCTTCAACCCTTGCGCGCGTTGGCGTCTAGCGCGGCCCTCCACGGTCTTTGAACCGCGGTTGGTTCGCGCCCAGTTCCCGGACCTGCACCTTACTTGCTCGCGCCCTCGCTCTGCTGGTCCGCGCGCCACTGGGACTCCATGAGAATGTCCCAGCGGACCGATCAGCGGCGATGAGAGCGGCCGTGGAGGCTCCGGAAATACAAAACGTCGGACAGAAGGGGCGGGAAAGAAGTGGAGGACGATTTGGGGAGGCGCGGCGAAGGGAGGAATATCATGAGGTAAGGTAAGGTAAGGCACGCATTGGGGCGGCGTGCTGTCTCGACTTGCGCATGGGGGTGAGACAAACGGAGATGCCTTGCGATCACATATGGAAACAGACCAGGGGGCTGCGGCTCCAAGGACTGCCAGATCATGAGGAGGAAGAGGAGGAGGGAGAGGGATAATGAAGGTGCCGTCGGGGAGCGGCAAAGCAATTTGTCCGCGTCGCACCGAGAGGCGCCGCTCCAGAAACCGCCCAACCCCGCGGGCGGCCTCTGCCCGAAAGCCGAGAGCGGGGGGCCAGAGGCAGGGGCGGCAGCCGCAGCCTCTGGTGTTTTGCGTGGGATGCCACTGTCTGGCAAACAACGGAGCAGCGCAGCGAAGCCGTTCCGGAGGTGGCGGTCAAGTGGGGCGATTCAGCAGTTTTGAAGCCTCTTGGGGGGCCGTTTTGGCTGCCTTTTGGAGAGCCATTTTGGGGCCTCGTGGGTTCTTTTTGGGAGTCCTCGGGGCCTTTGGAAGCCTCTTGGGGCCTCTTGGGGCCCTCCTGGGGCCTCCTGGGGCCCACTTGGGGCGGAAAGTTAGATGTTTGAACTTTTGATCGCCCTGTGGGGGCTCGTTTGAAGCTTTCTCGGGGCCCTCTTGGGCCTTCTTGGGCGCCTCTTGGGCTGTTTCGGGGCGCTCCAGAGCCGTCTTGGGGCCGTGTTGGGGCCGTTTTGGGGGCCCCCCGGGCCATCTTGGGGCGCTCTTGAGGGCCTCTAGTTCTGTCTTGGAGCGTCGGAAAGCTAAAATGGCGAGAAAGCAGAAAACATCGAAAAACACATTGGAAAATTGACCATTTCGGCCTCCCGGGGCCGTCTTGGGGGGCTTCTTTGGGGCCGCTTGGGGCGTCTTGGGGGCTCCTGAGGCTGTCTTGGGGCTATCTTTGGCGTCTTGGAGCGCTTTGTGCCTGTCTTGGAGCGCTCTTGAGGCACTCGGGACCGCTTCAATGGGCGTCCGGAGGGTCCCAAAGTCCCAGGATCCCAGGAGTCCGGTTTGGGGGGGGGGGGGGGTGCGGGGTTTTGCGGCCGCCCGGGCTTGTAAAAATATAGGAAGAGGAATATATAGAGAGAGAGCGTGCCCAGCAAGTGCAAACGCTCGATGGCCACAGCGTGGTTCTGTGCCCCGAAGCTAGAGACAAGCACAACAACGAGACTGAAGCGAACACTGCAGAGGGGTCGGGAGGCGGGACAGGCGTGGTGCGGCGCCGAGGCGAGAGCGCCCGAAGCGGAGAACCACAAGACGACGTTCCGAGTGAGAAGAGCACTTTTTGGTCGCGGACCTGGCAAGCAGCCCAGGGCCACTGGACGACGAATTACAGTCGGGGCGTTGACCTAAGAGAGAGCGTGATCCACCGCCGCTTTACTGTGGAAAATTGCCAGCCTTTTCCTCCGGAACCCGGGGGTCTCCCCCCCCCCCCCCTCCGAAAATTACCCCCCCCCCTGCCGGAACCCCCCCCCCCCCCCCCCCCCCCCCCCTCTCCCCCGGCAAACCCCCCCCCCCTCCCCTAAACCCCCCGCCCCCCCCCCCTCGCTCGAAAAGCCGGGGGGGGTCACTACCGGTTCGAACCCCTTCCCCCCCCCCCCCCCCCCCCCCTCTGGATCCGGAAAACCGGGGGGGTCACTACCGGTTCGACCCCCCCCCCCCCCCCCCCCCCCCCCCCTACTCACCGCCAGCAAACGACTCCCGGTCCCCACCACCGTCCGCATCACATCCCCCACTGGTGTTCCCAGCACCACTGTCCTCACCACCGCTGTCCCCACTGGTTCCACCACCGCCCCTACTGTCCCCACCAGTGGCCCCACCACTGTCGCACTGTCCCCGCTGTCCCCAGAACTGTTCCCACCACGGTTCCACTCTCCCCACTGTCTCCACGGCCCCAACCACTGCCCGACTATCCCCACTGTCCCCACTGTCCCACTGACTCCTCCGCTGTCCCACTGAGCTGTCCCACTGTTCCCACCACTGTCCCCACTGTCCCCACCACTGTCCCCACTGTACCTCTGTCCCATTGTCCCACCGCCGTCCTCGCCACCGCTTTCACCACTGTCCCCACCACCATTGTACCCTCCACTGTCCCACTGTTTCCACCTCGTTCCCATTGTCCCCACACCACTGTCCCCACCACCACCGTCACCACCACTGTCCACTGTCCCCCCCTGTTCCCACCATTGTCCCCACCACTGTCCCCACCACTACCGTCCCCACCGCTGTCCCACTGTCCCACTGTCCCCACCACTGTCCCGCTATCCCCTCACCACTGTCCCCACCACTACCGTCCCCACCACTGTCCCACTGTCCCCCCACTGTCCCCACCACTGTCCCGCTGTCCCCTCACCACTGTCCCCACCAACACCGTCCCCACCACTGTCCGCACCCCCACTCGGTTTTCGAGGGGGGGGTGGGGGGTTCGAACCGGTAGTGACCCCCCCCCCTTTTCATGATGAGCTTGGGGGGGGAGGGAGGGGTTCGAACCGGTAGTGACCCCCCCCGGTTTTCCGGAGGGGGGGGGGGAGGGGTTCGAACCGGTAGTGACCCCCCCCGGTTTTCCGCCAGCAGCGGTAGAACACGCTCTTTCTGACCTAAGGAACCCTAAATAAGGAACGAGGCCCATTTTCTCCATAAGTTAAACTTCGATTTCCCATCGAGAACATAAGGAAAACCTGAGGCAAGCTGCGAAACAATTAAGGAACACGGAGCCCCTCCCCAACGAAAAGGGTTCCTTCTTCAGCGACCCGACTTTAAGGGACAAGAGGAGGCAGGGCGGCCTCGGGAGGGGGAGGGGGGGGAACGAGGCCAACTCAGAGCACGGAGGTCGTCTGAAGGCGTGCTGCGGCCCAGGCTCGGGCGAGTGGTGCAAGAGAGGCGCGACCAGAACGCTCGGGAAGGGGCCGGGGAAACTTGGGGGCACCTCGAGCTGGCTGCCAGATGCCGATGCGGCACCCGAAGGCGAAGTTCGTACCGACCAGGGCCCAGGAGCGGAAGCTCGGGACCACGGTCAGCATGGCGAGCGCACGGGGTGGATCTACTGACCCGAACACGGGCCAGTCGGGCTCTGCAGGATACTGCAAGATCCCTCAGGGCGCTGCAGGATCCTGCGGGCCAGCCCCGGCCAGCGCGCTCCTGGCTCTGCAGGATCCTCCACGATCCGGCGCTCTGGCTGACCCGCGTTTGCATCCACCCCCGTCTCCGGAGCCCCGAGCCAGACGCGCGCGCGAGGGTCCGGTGGGCGACCGGGGCGGCACGGGCTGGACGGCCACCGGGAGGCGGAGAGCTGCCCTCAGGTCGGGCATGCCCCCCTACAGGCGGAGTCTGGAAGAGAAGGTGGGAATAGTCAAAAATACTCCCAAATGGCCAGAACATGGAGAGAGAGAGAGAGAGGAACAAAAACACATGTTTTTTTTTCCAAAACATAAAAACAGCAGCGACAAAAAAACAATACCGAAACAAACAGCACAAACAAAAAACTCCCCGGGCGATTCTTTTACTATTTTTGGATGCTCGTCCTGTCGGGGGACAGGCCCGACTTGGCGCTGGTGGTCGGAGAGCGGCCAAGGGGGGCCGAGGGGTGGATGGGGGCGGCCCAGCGGCGGCCTGCCGAGGCGGAGGCGGGAGGTCTGCGCACGCTTCCGTGCAGCAGGGGCCCGACCAGACGAGACCTTCCACACGACTTAGGTCGGGCATGTCCTCCTACAGTCGAGGCGTTGACCTAAGGGACCCTAAATAAGGAACGAGGCCCCTATTTTCCACAAGTTGAACTTCGATTCCGCATCGAAGACCTAAGGGAAACCTGAGGCAAGCTGCGAAACAATTAAGGAACACGGAGCCCCTCCCAAACGAAAAGGGTTCCTTCTTCAGGGCCCCGACTGTACAGGCGGGTTGTGGACGAAAGATGAGAAATACTAAAAAATGCTCAACATATATGCGCAAAAAATTGTCCCCAGACAATGCTTTGACTGTTTTTGAAGATTCCTCCTGTAGAGGGACAGGCCCGACTTAAGACTACCTAGGAGATCACCCCAACCCAACCCGAAGACCCGAAATTCGGGCTGGGGGGGTACGGGCTTCATATTTGTTTTCGTCCATGTTCCCCGACTCCCCCCGCCCCCCACTGGAAATGGAGGGCCAATCGGGGCCTTCGGGTTGGGTTGAGGTGGTCTGGCGGGCGGTGACAGTAGGGGCCCGTCCACAAGAGACCTTCCACAAGAAGCTCAACCCTGAGACCCCAGGACGTCCATGGATTTTTGGTATGGGCTCGTCACGCCTTCCATCGCAAAGCCATCGAAACCCAAGGAACCCAGGGCACCCTGGAGGCGAGCAGGGTGTTTCTCGGCGTGGGTCTCCACCGTAGGATATGCGCGCTGGTCCGAGGTCCAGAGCGCACTCGTGATGTCCAAAAGTATCCGGGTAGCGAGACGGCAGAAGCCTCTGGAAGGTGCTTCCGAGGACCTCTCGACGCTCTGGAAAGGAGCTTCTGGGAAGCTTGAGGGCGCACGTATTGGGGAACAGTTCGAAAGAGGCCTTGCGGGACACGCTGCGAACTCACAGGAGTTGCTGCGGGGATTCTGGAGCGCCGCCGGAAAGAGCTCCGGAGCGACCCTGTGCTGCCGGCTTCTATCTCCAAGAACCATCTCAGATCTCAGAGGGCTGTCAGGGAACCGAAGAGGAACAGCGCGCGGAGTGGGCGGATACAGAAACTGGGCCATCCTCGGGGGACGGGGGGGAAGCGGCACCCCCTCATCGCGAGCGGGCGCAGAGAGGAGAGGGGACGGATGAGAAAGAGGAGAGAAGAGGTGAGGAAGGTCGAGGAGGCAGAGGCCCCCCCTGGCTCCCTTGCGGTTCTCGATGGTCGCCTTCAGCTCGCCGCCCCAGTAGTCGGAGCACGCCTTGAAGATGTCGTAGCTGTCGCTCACGCAGGCTACCAGGCCTGACTCACCGCCTCCCTCCTCCCCATCTCCTCTGCTTCCTCCGACCTCGCCCCGTCCTCGCCCTCGTACTCCGCCTCCTCTTCCGCTCCTCCTCCTCTTTGCGTCCCCTCCGCCGCCGCCAACGCCTCCTCCTCCTCCTCCTCCTCCTCCTCCTCCTCCTCCTCCTCCTCCTCCCATGATGACATCCGACGTCGCGATTTGTTCATAACGTGGCTTCCCCGGGGTCCGAACCTTTTCCTGGGAACCAATTCTTCATCCTGAATACTTTTGACCGTCCCGGGCCTGGCGAAGACTCCCCGAGGCCGAACATCGGGGGAGGGAACAAAAGAATTGTCCGTCGTGATTGGTCACTGCGCAAGGATGCATGTCTGGGTCCTCCTCCCTCCTCTTCCAGTCCCAACCCTGGCCTGTGGGGTACCTGTCCAGCATGTTCCTCATGGCGTCAAGCTCGCCTTCCCGGCCCCAGCTGGTGATGGTGCTGTGCTCGGAGGCGGGGATGGAGAACCCAGGATGAGGAGGACGAGGCTCTAGGCCAATCAGAGGGGGGTCAGAGTAGATGGGGTCAGAGGATCGCGCCGCATCGCCAATGCATCGGTGATGCGGCTCGATGTGTAGCCCGATGTTCTCCGCGCCGGCGGCGCCGATGCACCGCCGACGTCGCCGATGCAGCGCCAACTCATCGGCGATGCTTCGGCGATGCGGTGCGATCCTCCGACCTCATCTACTCTGACCAAATCTAAGAGGCTTCGAGAGAAGGCGGGGGAGGAGGGCCCAGACATCCTTGCGTCGCGAAGAAACACAACGGACGGCGTGTTATCATTGTCGGTCTCCAGGGTCCTCGCCAAGCCCCGGGACAGTCAAAGCTAGCCTGGCGAAGGACCCAATCATATGCAGCTGTGAGCACCGTCGTTGTATGCAACGCATTCGGAGGAGCTCCCTAGAAGGCCACGAAACGCGCGAGTGGTGTGCCAAAAACGGTGCCGTGGGCGCATGCGAAAGTAGCCACTGGGGCCGTCGGTGGGATCCCCTATGGGGCCACGAAACGTGTAAGGGGTGTGCTGAAATAGGTGCGGTGGGCGCATGCGAACGTAGTCACAGGATCCGTCGGCGGAATAGCCACCATGAGGACTGCGCCACTGGGACCTTAGGTAGAGCTCCCTATTGGGCCACGAAGCGTGTGAGGGGTGTGCCGAATGGGGCGGCGCCGCCATGCGGGCGGCGCCACTGGGACCTTAGGTGGAGCTCCCTATGGAGACACAAAGCGTGTGAGGGGTGTGCCGAAATGGGGCGACGCCGCCATGCGGACGGCGCCACTGGGCCCTTGAGTGGACCTCCCTACGGGGCCCCCACAGCGTGTGAGGGGTGTGCCGAAATGGGGCGGTGCCGCCATGCGGACGGCGCCACCGGGACCTTGAGTTGACCTCCCTATGGGGCCACAATACGTGCGAGGGGTGTGCCGAGATGGGGCGGCGCCGCCATGCGGACGGCGCCAGTGGGTCATTCGCTGGAGCGCCCTATGGGGTCACGAAGCGTGTGAGGGATGTGCCCAAATACGGCGGCGCAGCCATGCGGACGGCGCCACAAGGACCGTGGGTGGAACCCCCTAAAGTGGCACAAAGCGTGTAAAGGATGTGCCGAAATGGGGCGGCGCCGCCATGCATACGGTGCCACTGGGACCTTAGGTGGAGCTCCCTATGGGGCCACAAAGCGTGTGAGGGGTGTGCCGAAATGGGGCGGCGCCGCCATGCGGACGGAACTCCCTATGGGGCCACGAAGCGTGTGAGGGGTGTGCCGAAATGGGACGGCGCTGCCATGCTGACGGCGCCACTGGGACCTTAGGTGAAGCTCCCTATGGGGCCACGAAACGTGTGAGGGGTGTGCCGAAATGGAGCGGCGCCGCAATGCGGACGGCGCCACTGAAACCTTAGGTGGAGCTCCCTACGGGGCCACCAAACGTGTGAGGGGAGGGGGAGGACTGAGAGGAGGGAGGAGGGGGATGGAGGAGGCGACCGATTGTTAGTGTGGCCCGTTAGCTGTTCGTGTGGCCCGTCTCGCGGCCGGATGGGTGTTGCTGTGGCCCGCGCTGGCCGTTCAACGAAAAGTAACATATAAAGGTATCTCATGTTCGATTTGAAAAGGTTCGCAACCCTTAAGGGCATGCGTTCCCGCGCAGGCAAACGTGGCCGCAGTAACTCCCACCTGGAACCATCGCAGTAGTAGTAGTAGTAGTAGTAGTAGTAGTAGTAGTAGTAGTAGTAGTAGTAGTAGTAGTAGTAGTAGTAGTAGCCGTAGTAGTAGTAGTAGTAGTAGTAGTAGCAGCAGCAGTAGTAGTAGAAGTAGTCGTAGTAGTACTAGCAGTAGTAGTAGTAGTAGTAGTAGTAGTAGTAGTAGTAGTAGTCGAAGTAGTAGTATTCGCCGAAGTAGTAGTAGTAGTAGTAGTAGTAGCAGTAATAATCGTAGTAGTAGTACTAGTACTAGTAATTGTAGTGGTAATTGTAGTAGTAGTGGTAGTAGTAGTAGTAGTAGCAGTAGTAGTAGTAGTAGTCGTTGTAGTCGTAGTAGTAGTAGCAACAGCAGTAGTAGTAGTAGTAGTAGTAGTAGTAGTAGTAGTCGTGGTAGTAGTAGTAGTAGTAGTAGTACGAGTAGTAGTGGTAATAGTAATAGTCGTGGTAGGAATAGTAATCGTAGAACTGGCAATAGTGCTATTAGTCGTGGAAGTAGCAGTAGTAGAAGGAGCAGTACTAGTAGTTGCAGTAGTAGTAGTAGTAGTAAAAATAATAGTAGTAGTAGTAGTAGTAGTAGCAGTAGTAGTAGTAGTAGCCGTAGCAGTAGTAGTCGTAATAGTAGTAGTAGTAGTAGTAGTAGTAGTAGTAGCCATAATAGTAGTAGTAGCAGTAGTAGTAGTAAACAAAAAAGTAGTAGTAGGGAGTAAAGGTAATATCAGTAGCTAGCTGTAGCAATACCAGTATCAGTAGTAGAAGAAGTCTTCGTCGTAGTAGTCGTATTAGTAGTAGTAGTGGTAGTAGTAGTAGTAATGCTAATAGTAATACTAGTAGTAATACTGGTAACAGTAGTAACACGGGGTAGTACTAGTAGAAGTCTTAGTATCAGTAGTCGAAGTAGTACTAGTCGTAGTAGTAGTAGTAGTCGTAGTAGTAGTAATAACGGTAAAAGCAGCAGCCGCAGAAGTGGTTATAGTAGTAATACTAGTAGTAGTAGTAGTAGTAGTAGTAGTAGTAGCAGTAGTAGTAGTAGTAGTAGTAGTAGTCGTAGTAGTAATGGTAGTAGTGGTAGTAGTAGTAGTAGTAGTAGTAGTAGTAGTAGTGGTAGTAATAGTAGTAGTCGTCGTAGTCGTAGCAGTAGTCGTAGAAGTCGTATTAGATGTAGTAGCTGTCGTAGTAGTAATACTAGTACTAGTACTAGTATTAGTAGTAGCAGTAGTAGTAGTAGTAGTAAGTAGTAAGTAGTAAGTAGTAAGTAGTAGTAGTGGTGGTAGTAGTGGTAGTGCTAGTAGTGGTTGCAGTTGTAGTAGCAGTGGTAGTAGTAGTAGTAGCAGTGGGAGTGGCAGAGGCGGTAGTAGTATTAGTAGGAGTCGAAGCCGAAGTAGTAATAGTAGTAGTAGTAGTAGTCGTCGTCGTCGTAGTGGTAGTAGTAGTCGTAGTAGTAATAGAAGTACTAGTGGTCGTCGTCATCGTAGTAGTCGTAGTAGTAGAAGTGGTAGTAGTAGTAGTAGTAGTAGTAGTAGTAGCAGGAGCAGAAGCACAAGTAGTGGTAGTAGTAGTAGTAGTAGTAGTAGCAGTAGTAGTGGTAGCAGTCGTAGCCGCAGCCGTGGTAACAGGAATGGCAGTACTCGTAGTAGTAGTAGTAGTAGCAGTAGAAGAAGTAGCAGTTGTAGCAGCTAGTAGCTTGTACTACTACTACTAGTAGCAATGGTAGAAGTAGTAGTAGCAGTAGCAGTAGCAGTAGTAGTACTAGTAGTCGTACTGCTACTACTACTACTACTACTACTACTACTACTACTACTACTACTACTACTACTACTACTACTACTACTACTACTACTACTACTACTACTACTACTACTACTACTACTACTACTACTACTACTACTACTACTACTACTACTACTACTACTACTACTACTACTACTACTACTACTACTACTACTACTACTACTACTACTACTACTACTACTACTACTACTACTACTACTACTACTACTACTACTACTACTACTACTACTACTACTACTACGACTACTACTACTACGACTACGACTACTACGACTACGACTACTACTACTACTACTACTACTACTACTACTACTACTACTACTACTACTACTACTACTACTACTACTACTACTACTACCTACTACTACTACTACTACTACTACTACTACTACTACTTCTACTACTACCCCTCCTCCTCCTTCTCCTCCTACTCCTACTCCTACTCCTACAACTACTACTACTACTACTACTACTACTACTACTACTATTACTACTACTACTACATCTTCTAGTACTACTATCATGTTTTTACTACTATTACTACTACTACTACTACTACTACTACTACTACTACTACTACTACGACTACTACTACTACTACTACTACTACTACTACGACTACTACTACTACTACTACTACTACTACTACTACTACTACTACTACGACTGCTACGACTGCTACGACTACTACGACTACGACTACGACTACGACTACGACTACGACTACGACTACGACTACTACTACTACTACTACTACTACTACTACTACTACTACTACTACTACTACTACTACTACTACTACTACTAGTGAGGGAAAGCGGGAAATGAGGGAGGGTGAATGAGGAAATGAGGAGGCAAATAGGGAGGACGATGACGAGGAGTGCCATGGAATGAGTGGGGAGGAGTGCGGAGAGGGGGGAGGAGTGGATTGAAGTGCGGAGGAGTGCCGAGGAGTGCGATGGAGTGCGGAGGAATGTGAGGCTCTGGAGGGCTCCTTGGAGGCCTCTGGAGGGCTTCTTGCAGACCTCTGGGGGACGCTTTCGTGGACTCCTGGGCTTAGCTGCCCCGATACGCAACACGCCACACGGAACGTGGCCCAACACGTAGGCTCAAAACGGAGACCTGGCTGCACCGAAAAGCGACATGGAGGGAGTGTCGAGGAGTGCGGAGGAGCAGGGTGAATTGTGGGGAGCCCAAGAGGCTATTCGGAGAACCCCAGAGGCTCTTCCGAGAGGCTCTTCGGAGAGGCTCTTCCGAGAGGCTCTTCGGTGAAGGGGGGGGGAGGAGGCTCTTTGGAGACCCCCCTTCACCGTACTCGTTTATTAATACCCTCCGGAGGAACCCTGGCCATACTAACACCCACCGGGCCTCACTAACAACCAACGGGCCACAGTAACACCTTATCTCGAGGGAGGAGGGGAGTGGGAGGGAGGGAGGAATGGGAGGAAGGAGGAGGGGGAGGAGGAGGAGGAGGAGTGAAGAGTGAGGGGTGAGAAGCGGGGCGCTGTCCCTTGAAAACGAGACCTAACAACACAGGACGGTTGGGAAGAGACTCCGAATGGAAAACCGGCCCCGGGGAACGGGTCGGGAGTTCCTGGGACGCCGCATAGAAAAAATAACGACATTGGATGGCTGGGGAAGGGGAGAGAGGAGGGGAGGGAAGGAAGGGGAGGGGAGGAGGGGAGGAGGGAGGAGGGAGGAGGGGAGGGTGGAGGAGGAAAGGAGGAGAGAGAGGAGGTATACGGGGAGGACGGGGAGGGGAGGAAAATGCGGAGGACGAGGAAAATCACAGAGGACTGGACCGTGGAGGAGAAGGACGACGGCGTGGAGTGGGAGGAGAGGGAGGGGAGGACACGCAAGCTTCCTCGGTCGGTTTCCCCAGAATCTCCAGGGACTCTCAAAGGTGTCCAAAGAGCTCTCAGGAGGGGGCGGAAGATGAGGAAATCGGACGGAAGCAAAGAATGCAGGATGTTGAGGGAGGAAGGAGAAGGAAGCAAGTGAGCGGGAGGGGGAAGATAGAAGCGAGGGGAGGATCGAGAACCCAGCGCAAGGCTCCCCATAGAATTTGTCCAGCATCATGAGCGCCGCCATCGTGTCGGTGCCTGTGACCCCCAGAGAGTTGCCAGATCCGATGGGCTGGCCTCTCCAGATCCTGAGAACCGCACCCTGTCCTCAGCGAGTGCTTGTGCAGCTACGCTCGGATATGTGACCGACCAAGCCAACTCCACCCAAGATCCAGGATCTGAAGGGCCATTCTCTCGGGTCGGACACCTTGCCGGGGCCCGAGCGCCCATGAAGTTCACCAGGTGCGCCCCGCCCCCGATGGCCGCCGACTCCACGGAAGACACGCCCCGGAAGCCGAAGTCGTGCAGCTTGAACAGGTGGCCGCCCCCCTTGACCACTCCCTCGGAGCCAGTCATCTTGAGATATCTCATGACGGCAGGAGGTCGGAAGCAGGCGGCGAGCGAGGGGGGGGGAACGAGAGGGAGAAGGCCTTCTCGGAAGGCCCGGAAGCCCCCCGGCCCTCTGAGCGGTTCTTCGAGCCCTCTCCCGAGGACACACAGCAACCGACCTCTCAGGAGGCGCGAGGGCCTCTGAGAAGCACCGCCGACTTCTGAGCACACGCCTTCTCCTTCTCAGCTCCCCCGCCGGGCGCGCCGTCGAATGTGGTCTCTGGGCCATACCTCGGGCCTCCGGCGGCCGTTCGGAACGATCCGGGCACCCCCGGGACGCCCTCGGCGAGGCGCAGCTGCTGGCGAGCATCCCGAGGCTGGAAAACCTTGGCGGTGCGCACAAGGGGGTGGGGGGAGGGGTGGGGGCTTCTTAGAAAGAGGCTGCTTCTTAGAAGGCGCCGGCCTTGCATCTATGGATGAGGCCCGCGCCGTCTAAGAAGCAGGGGGTGCTTCTGAGAAGCCCTCCCCCTCTCCCCGCCCCCCTCTGCGCGTGGCTGAGCTGGAAAACCGCCGAGCACCGACAAAAAACCGCCAGAAGAAACCTCGCGCCTCGAGCCCGAATCTCTTCCCCCCCTCGCCCGCCGCCGAGGAGGGGCACGCGAGCGCACGAGCCTCGAGCGCTCCGCGGCCGGCTCCTCCGCGAGGGGGCCAGGGCCGCGTCCCCCCCCCCCTGCGCTGGCGCGCCCCTGGCCGGCGCGGCGCGCCGCTGGCGCGCCGTGCGGCGAGCGTCGCGCCCTCGCGGGGAGGGCCCGCGCCGACGAGCGAGCCGCCCCGCAGGGGCGCCCGGGGGCTCCTCTGCCGCCGCGTGCCCGTCCAGGGATCGCCCCCAACGGTGTCGATTCGCCCTCGTGTGGGCCTCGCTCTCCCTCATTACTGGCTCTTCCCTCCGCCTCTTGTTTTGCTGCCGGACGAGGGCGAGGCGAGCACGGCCCAGGAGGTCGCCCGGGCACCGTTCAGGGTCGACCCCCGTGCCCATCCGCCCTCCCGGATGATCTTCTTCATCTCCCGGCTCTGGGTGCAGACGGTGGTGGCGTACCACACCTGCACCAGCAGTGTCTCCAGGTAGTTCGTCAGCCAGAAACATCTCGGGTCCGAGTTCTCCATCGTGAACAGCACGTTCTTGTAGGGAAGAACAGTCCCCTCTGGCACCGCCTTGATTATTACCGGCAGGTGTCCGCCGTGTTCCCTGAGAATGTACTCCCACCCTGATCGATTGAACAGCCTCCCACCCTCAGCGAAGTGCAATTTGAAGCACTTCTCTGCAGCATCAATGGCGTCGACCGTAACTACGGGTCCCACCATATACCTTTTTAAATAATACTGGAGGCCAAAGAAACACACCTCGGG